ACCCTATAGAGGGCACAATTTATATCCGATTTTGTTGAAACTTGGAATGTAAGTTTATAACCCAAAAATCTTGGTTCTTTTCATTATTCGCGCATATCGGATCGTAACTTCCTGAATCACATTTTTAGCTTGTGGACCCTATAGAGGTCATAATTTTTATCCAATTTAAAAAAAACTTTTAGTATATCACCGTTACACCCGAAGGATGGCTGAGTTCGAAATTCGTGAAAATCAGCCCAAAACTGACAGACCAAATGGCCGCCCCTTGTTCTCAAAATAGTGAAAAAAATATGGTATATCAATGTCGTGGACCCTCTAGAGGTCACACTTTTCTTCTGATTTTGATGAAACTTGAAATGTAAGTTTAAAACCCAAAGATCTTGGTTCCTTTCCATATTTGCGCATATCAGATCGTTACTTCCTGAATTATGGCCCCTGATTTTACGCAAAATCGCGTTTTTAGCTTCAGGTCCCTCTAGAGGTCACACTTGTTATCCAATTTATAAAAACGTTCAAATAGATCACCGTCACACCGTAATTTTGATTGAGTTCGGATTTTAAAAACGGTTTAAATGTATCACCATTCCACCATAATGAATGTTGAATTCGAATTTCGGGAAAATCGAAATGAAACTACCCGACAAAATGTCCGCTCTTTAGTCTTTGTACACAAATTGTGTAAAAGTATGCAATACGAAGGTTGTGGACCCTCTAGAGGTCACAATTTTTATCTGATTTTGATGAAACTTAAAGGGACAATAACACTCTTGCTGGCTTGACAGCTTCAGAAAATAAATAATAGCCTTATTCTAAGCACTAGATGTTTAAGTGTCCTACCTGTTGTGTAAATTATCCATTACATCCTATTTTACTTGTCCAGAGGGTTCGAAAATATTTTTAAATCCAAGTCACATTTGAAAAGGTTTACGTTAGGCTTTTCAAATCATTTAGTTGAAATTTTCCAATTTTTTAAATTAGGTGTGTTAAGATGGAATTTGTACCATCAATTAATTGGAATATTGTAAAATAGTACAATTTGTTGACCAGAATAAAGATTGGGACATATTATTCAGTTACAACAAGAGTGGTATTGAGCCTTTAAAACATATCTTTTTATCCCAAAGATCTCAGTCCCTTTTGATATTTGCGCATTTCAGACCATAACTTTCTGGATTATTGCCCCTGATTTTACAAAAAATCCCATTTGTTTTTACCTTGTTCTCTATCCATCTCTTGCAAAATGTGGGCATATCCTGCCTGGCAGCCGCTGGTTACAAATTATAGTGGTCATTACAAACTTAAAATTGGTACTAGAATATTGTTAAGTATTAAATATGATCAATTAAAAATAATTATGCTTAGCCTTTGATTATGTGATAAGAGTATCATACGCCCTGGGGGGGGGGGGGACAATATAAGCAACAAGAGGGTGCACCGATTGCATGAAGCCATTCAAATACGACGACACAAACCAACGATGAACAGAGATCAACACGTTATTATGATCAACTATAGATATATTTATGATAACATAATTTAATTTATAGTAAATTTGTGATCAATAACGGAAATGATACATTGTCATAATGGACGTTTACACCACTGGAGATATACAACTGTTATCACTGATAAATCCATCTGGATTTTACAGACTCTGAAAACATTACGACCTAAAACCGATGAGTATTAACAATTATGTAACAGTAAACATGTCACCTGATTGAGTCCACATGACAACAAGGTGGCTCGCTAAAGAGTTAAAACATTATCCAACCATATTATTCAATAATGTTTATGGGATTTTGATTATTTGAAACCTTCTTTTTCATGGACATATTTACAAAGGACATATTTCGTACCCTGGATTGTCATTTTTAGATTAGTCTTATTTTTGACATTATCCAGCTGCAGCTGTGTTCTAACTAATAAGATGCTTTCATTCCTCTTTTTAATAAAGATTATCCCATCACTCGTCCATGTAGATGATATCTTATTTTCTTTTTGAAGTTGCCTTACCTGGAAAGCTAAGTTAGATCTTGTTTTAGTTAGATCTTCGTTTATGTAGATATTGTGTGCCTGGAATATATCAGGGATAGTTTTGTTCTCGATCACTGGTACATCTGGTACCTCTGACTCCGTTTAGGGACGGGGCATGAAAGACATGTTGATGTTGACCTCTTTGGACCTTGATCAGCTGTGTAACCCCGTAGAGACTTTAGGTTCTTTGCTTGTTTAAGGAATTCACAGTTAGTGTAATAGCCTTTGAATCTGCTGTTGATTTTTCTAGGCTCAGACTTGGCCCCAGGGGGGAATAATTTTCCAACTCTGTCACTTCTGTTTATGTGGTCACGAGTGATATTAATACTTGTAACTTCTGTTTATGTGGTCATGAGTGATATTAATGCCAATAAGTTTAGCTACCTGAATTACAATCTTGTCTGTGTCTTCGCCTATACGTTCGGTGATACCAGATATCCTAACACCTTCCCGTCGTCCATATTGTTCCAGCTCATCATTTTTATCTTTCAGCTCTTGAATAGCCTGATCCTAGGACTGTACTTCAGTCTCTAACTTGGTTATCTTTTCTTCTAGAAAGTTCATTTTTTATACGGCCACATTTTCATGTGGATGTATATTGTTTTCGCCATTGTCCGTTTGGACATCTGTCGGTCCACAATTTGTTTGTGGACTGGACACTCTACAGGTCACAATTCTTGTCCGATTTTGACGAAACTTGAAAATAGGTCACCAAAAGATCTTGGTTCCTTTCAATATTGGCATGTATCGGATCGAAACTTCATGGATTATGGCCCCTGATTGTTTGAAAAATCACATTTTTAGCTTGTGGACACTCTAGAGGTCACAATTTTCATCTGATTTTGATGAAACTTGAAATGCATGTTTATAACCCAAAGATCTTGGTTCTTTTCCATATTTGCGCATATCAGATTGTAACTTCCTGCATTATGGCCCCTGATTGTACGAAAAATCTTGTTTTTAGCTTGTGGTCCCTGTAGAGGTCACAATTATTATCTGATTTACAAAAACGTTTGAATATACCACCATTACACCATTATGTTGTTTGAGTTCGAATTTCGTGAAAATCAGACCAAAACTTGTGGTCCCTCTGGAGTTAAAAATTATTATCTGATTAAAAACTGTTCGAATATATCACAGTTACACCGTAATGTTGGTTGAGTTCGAATTTTGTGAAAATCAGAGAAAACTGCCAGACAAGATGGCCATCCTTCTACGCAAATAGTGTAAACATCTGGTATATCAAGGTTGTGGATCCTCTATAGAACACAATTTTGAGTCGATTTTGATGAAACTTGAAATGCATGTTTATAACCCAAACATTTTGGTTGCTTTTGGTATTTGCACATATCGGATCGTAACTTCCTGAATTATGGCCCCTGATTGTACAAAAAATTGTGTTTTTATATGCCCATATTCTCATGTGGACGTATATTGTCGTCGCCTCTGTCCGTTCGTCCGTCCACAATTTGTTTGTGGACACTCTACAGGTCACAATTCTGATCTGATTTGGACGAAACTTGAAATACAGGTTTATCTCCAAAAGATCTTGGATGCTTTCGATATTGGCATGTATCGGATCGAAACTTGATGGATTATGGCCCCTGTTTGTACGAAAAATCACGTTTTTAGCTTGTGGACCCTATAGAGGTCACAATTTTTATACGATTTTGTTTAAACTTGAAATGTAAGTTTATAACCCAAAGATCTTGGTTCCTTTCAATATTCGCGCAGATCAGATGGTAACTTCCTGAATTATGGCCCCTGATTGTACGAAAAATTGCGTTTTTAGCTTGTGGACCCTATAGAGGTCATAATTTTTAACCAATTTAAAAAAAACATAATATTATATCAATGTTACACCCTAAGGATGGCTGAGTTCGAATTTCGTGAAAATCGGCCCAAAATTGACATACAAAATGGCCGCTGTTCATTCTCAAATAGCGTAAAAATATGGTATATCAAGGTTGTGGACCCTATAGAGGTCACAATTTTTATCTGATTTTGTTGAAAACTTGAAATGTGAGTTTATAACCCAAAAATCTCAGATCCTTTCGATATTCGCGCAAACCGAACCGTAACTTCCTGAATTATGTCCCCTGATTGTACGAAAAATCGCGTTTTTTTCTTGTGGACTCTATAGACGTCATAATTTTTATCCAATTTAAAAAAACGTAATATTATTATGTCACTGTTACACCCTAAGGACTGTTGAGTTCGAATTTCGTGAAAATCGGCCCAAAATTGACAGACAAAATGGCCGCCGTTCGTTCTTAAATAGCATATAAATATGGTATATCAAGGTTGTGGACCCTATAGAGGTCACAATTTTTATCCGATTTTGTTGAAACTTGAAATATAAGTTTATAACCCAAAGATCTCGGTTCCTTTCAATATTCACGCATATCTGACCGTAACTTCCTGAATTATGGTCCCTGGTTGTACGGAAAATCGCGTTTTTAGCTTGTGGACCCTATAGAGGTCATAATTTTTATCCGATTTAAAAAAACATATTAATATATATAACCGTTACACCCTAAGGACAGCTGAGTATAAACCAAGTGATTGTATCCATAATAAGTGTTCTAGTATTATATCATAAATCAATTGCTAAATGCCTCTCAAAGATTTTTGCATTATGTCTCGCCAGCACATCAGTCAAATCAGTAATTTGTTTTCATAGCATTTCAGTGTATATGTATTAAATAGGCATTTTCAATTTTAATGAAAAGCTAAATATAATTAGTATTTAAATAACATTTTGAAACCAGTTTTGTAAATAAAACTTAAAATGTTGAAAATTAAAATATTTAGATCTCTGCAGTGGATTGGTAGTTCTGTCTCAAGGTTTAAATGCAAGAATAATAGGCATTGCTAACAGTAGCCACATGGTGTGTGACTACTATACATTTGTAGTACCAGTACATATTGAATTAATAATATACAAATTTTTATGTTCACAGAAAGACAGGTATGTAGAGAGAAAATTGGTGAACTTTTATCAGAGAAAGTTTTATTTGTAGCCGAGATTATGAACCGACATGAGTATGTACCTAAGACTCCTAATCAGTCAGAATTGGATCTGATTTTTGATACTAGCTTCCTTGATGTACAGCCTTATTTATATCGTGTAAGTCTAAACAGTGTTTATATTAAACATTAAAAGTTTTATAAGATTAGAAATATAATTTGGGAGCAGCAGGTTTTGTATATTCTATGATTACAGCATAATTATGTAGTATCAATGATTAAATAAATTAAATGCCGCTGCCCTGGCAAATTACATATTCATTGCACTTGTGGTGACTCATTCACTTCAAGTTTACTTAAATTTAAACTGAATCCAAATTGAATGGCAGGCTTTGGCGTCTGGTTATTCCAGTCTACACCAGTAGAATTATCCTGTGAGATATATTCAGCCTCGTTCATGAAGTTGCTTCATTACAAATGGCACTCGAAAGCATTCTGCATTTTCATTTTGTCTTAAATATTGGATACCAGAAGCCCATCTTTTTCGCGATAAGATAACAACATCAATGTGGATTTAAATTGACCAATAATCGTATATGCAATGTTGAAGACTTGGGATAATATTGAGTTAGAGACTTGCTGTCTTTAATGGATCTTTTTCATATTTTGCTTGAAGCATTGGGGTCAGTGATCCCAATCAATATTCATAATCCACAGCTTTCCGTTCCTGAGTTACCCCCCTTTGCCAAAAAACGTGTGAACACGATAGAGACTATAGGTTTTAACAGATTTTTTTTCAAATTTGATTTGAAGCAATAGGGTCATAAGAGGATGAACCCTCGAGATTAGATTTTTTCAAGGATCCTAGATGCTTATCCAATTTACTCAATATCCAAGTTTTCCTTTCGCATAACCTGCAGTTGAGACAAATCTGCTGTGTGGGCTTTTTCCACACATGGGGGGTTGGATGGCTGAATGGTTAGCACGTGCGTGCTGTATCATCAAGTCTGTCATTGAGTCAACTGGCGTGTTTTCGATTCCCTGGTTGTACGTGACAAGGAGTAAGATCGTTTGTCCAACCTCGTGGGTTTTCTCCCACCCCTACGTGCAAGCGAATTATTTTAATAAAATTGAACCATATGTTAGTCCTGAAATGATCTAGTTTGTGTCGAGTGGACGTTAAACCCCATTTCTCTCTCTCTCTCTTTTCCACACATTGCTTGGGCAATCTTTGGTAATCTTAAGGACTACTATTACAAGGTGTTTACATCTGCTTCCAGCTTATGGTTGTGTCATAGATGATATGTTTGATACACATAGTGTGGCTCTTTTGTCAGTCTAAATTTGCACAGATTGATTTTAATGTAATACTGTTTCTTTTCTTCAGATTTCCCATTCAACAACTGAACCTAGTTCCACTTCTGTTGGCATTTCTATGAGGAAATTTCTAAAAGATACACTAGCCTTGTGATGATAGATAATTCCATTTTTAGAGACAATTTTAACAAGTTTTTATTGACACTATGGAGATGCTTGGTGATTGGTATATAATATAATACTCCCTCATACTTTTCACTGAAGTGAAAGAAAGTGTTAAACTGCCATTTTCCTGTATATTATTTGTACAATGAATATTTATTAAGTAATCACCATTTTTATACGCCCACATGGAAATGTGGTCATATATTGCCGTCGCCCCTGTCCGTCTGTCCACCGTCCACAATTTCTTGTGAACATTCTACAGACTACATTTATTATCTGATCTTTTTGAAATTTATATATTTTGTTTATGTTTAAGCCTATTTATTTTCAACAATTTCCATTAATTATTTCTAGAGTTATAGGCCTTGTTTCACTTTGTAGAACCTTGTGAACACTCTAATGACAAAAGTTATCATCTGAACTGTATTAAATTTATATGCATTATTTAAATTAGTGAAACGAAAAAGCCTACTGAATTTCAGCAATTTCTGTATATTGCTTCTAGAGTTATAACCCTTGTTTCACTTTGTTGTACTGTGTGAACGCTCTAATGACAAAGGTTATTATCCGATCTGTATGAAATTTATATGTGTCTTTAAATTAGTGAAATGTAGAAGCCTATTGAAATTCAACAATTTCCATTAATTGCTTTTAGAGCTATAGCCCTTATTTCACTTTGTAGAACCTTGTGAACGCTATTTCGACAAAAGTTATCTGATCTGTATGAAACGATATCAGTGTCTTGTAAATGCTCCCTTATCTACAAAACAATAAATATGTGACAACCCTTGTCGACTGCGCTGCTGTGGGCACATGTTTTGTTGCCTGGCAACCTATTTTTATACGCCCACATTTTCATGTGGACGTATATTGTCGTCGCCCCTGTCAGTCCGTCCACAATTGTTTGTGAACACTCTACAGGTCACAATTTTTGTCTGATTTCAATGAAACTTGAAATATAGGTTTATCACACTAAGATCTCTGATCTTTTCGATATTGGCATGTATCGGACTGTAACTTCATGGATTGTACGGAAAATCACGTTTTAGCTTGTGAACACTGTAGAGGTCACAATTTTGATCTGATTTGGTTTAAACTTGTAATGTATGTTTATAACCCACAGATCTCGGTTCCTTTCAATATTAGCACATATCGGACCATAACTTCCTGAACTATGGCCCCTGATTGTACGAAAAATCGTGTTTTTAGCTTGTGGTCCCTTTAGAGGTTACAATTATTATCAGATTTAAAAAAACGTTTGAATATATCACCGTTACAATGTAGTGTTTGTTGAGTTTGAATTTTGTGCCAAAACTGCCGGGCAAAATGGCTGCCCCTCGTACACAAATAGTGTAAACTTCTGGTAAATCAATGTTTATCCGATCTCGATGAAACTTGAAATACATTTTTATAACCCAAAGATATTGATTCCTTTCGACATTCACGCATATCGAATCGTATATGATCATTACACACTAAGATCTTGGTTCCTTTTGATAATCGCGGATACCCGAAATCGCATTTTTATACACCCACATGGAAATGCGGTTGTAGATTGCCGTCGACCCCGTCCGTCGTCCACAATTTCTTGTGAACACTCTACAGACTACATTTATTTTCTGAATGTTTTGAAATTGATATATGTTGTTTGCCTTAGTGAGATAAAGAAGCCTATTTAATTTCAATAACTTCCGATAATTTCTTCTGGAGTTATGGCCCTTGTTTCACTTTGTTGCACCTTGTGAACTCTTTAACGACAAAAGTTATCAACCGATCTGTATGGAATTCATATGCATCATTTAAATTAGTAAAGCAAAGAAGCCTATTGTATTTCAGCAATTACCGTTAATTACATCTAGAGTTATGGCCCTTGTTTCACTTTGTTGAATCTTGTGAACGCTAGTCTAATGACAACAGTTATCATCCGATCTGTTTGAAATTGATATGCATCATTTAAATTAGTGCAGCGAAGAAGTTTATTGAATTTCAGCAATTTCTGTCAATTACGCCATGAGTTATGGCCCTTGTTTTACTTTGTTGAACTTTGTGAACGTTCGAACGACAAAAGTTACCATCAGATCTGTATGAAATTTATATGCATTATTTGAACTAGTAAAACGAAAAAGCCTGTCGAATTTGAACAATTTCTGTAGATTACTTCCCGAGTTACGGCCCTTGTTTTAGTTTTTAGAACCTTGTGAACCCTCAAATGACGAAAATTATAATGTCATTTGTATGAAATTGTCTCTTAAATGCCCCTAATTACCTACAAAAGAATAAATATGCGACAACCCTTGTTGACCGCCCGGACGAATTAGCTGCTGTGGGTATATGTTTTGTTGCCTGGCAACCTATCTTTATCTTGTGGATTCTATAGAGGTCACAATTTTTTTCCGATTTTAAAAAACGTTTAAATACATCACCATTCCACCATAATGAAAGTTGAATTCGAATTTCGGGAAAATCGACATGAAACTGCCCAACAAAATGGCTGCTCTTTGTACGCAAATTGTGTAGAAGTGTGTAATACCAAGGTTGTGGACGCTCTAGAGGTCACAATTTTTATCTGATTTTGATGACCCTAAAACATATCTTTATATCCCAAAGTTCTCAGTCCCTTTTGATATTTGCACGTTTCAGGCCATAACTTTCTGAATTATTGCCCCCGATTGTACAAAAAATTGTGTTTGTTTTTAGCTTGTTCTCTATCTACACTTGCAAAATGTGGGCGTATCCTGCCAGGCAGCCGCTGGTTATACATGGCGAGACCTTTTTAATTTCTGTCAAAAATTAAATTGTCAATTTCTTCTGTGGGGTGACAGTATGTCTTCGTTAATATATTTGCTCAGTATATATTAACACAGTGACCCCAAAATTAATTAAAATCAGTAAACAAGCTGACTTTTACTCAATCCTTTGAATAAAAAATGTAACCTTAAAGAGCTTGTCCCATCATTAATGAAATAACACATCAGATAACCCAATGAAATGCTTTATTTTTACCTTAAAGAAGTTTAGGTCCTTTACTTTAATTAGGTCATATATATTGAAATGTCCATGGTCCGTTCACATTTTTATACGCCCACATTACAGTTAGGGCATAGTATGTTGTATGTTATATTATCTTTATTACAGGGATGAAACCAATGAAAAAGCTGTTAAAGCATGTCTTTACATTATTTACATAGTCATTTCCTTTACCTTAAAATATTTAGTAGATTTTAAAGGAAAGTTATTAATGAATTATTCTTTAAACAGGATTTGTGCATTCGGGGTTAGATGGAAATAGTCACTCTTTTCTTTGAGCCGGATGACTTGCTGTGAGCTAGCATATATTGTATTGGCATCCAATACTGTGTTATTGCTCATCATGACATTTTTGTAATCAAACACATTAACATTGCTATCCCTTTCTGTTTATGTGTGTTTGTTGTGATGCTCCAACACTTACTATTATAAAAGGTTTTTTTTAGTCTACAAGACTCAGGCTCTGTAGACAATGTGCCAATCTCAATCACCTATGATAAGCTATTCTTCTGACAAGAATTGTAATCATAAAAGCATGGACTGATCATCTGCAGAGGTTTGGACAATCATGTGGACAATCATGCACAGAACATGGGGCATATAGAGTATGATTGTACTGTACCAATCACATGGCAAACATTCAAATGATATGAATGTTTTCTTTGAAGAAAATAGGGACAGTTTCTAAGGGAAAAATTTTTTTTTTTCATTAAGAAGAAAGGCACAATGTATTACTAGCAATAATAATAATGTTCTCAGTCAGAAAGTTTTCTTATCAAGCTTAAACCAGTTACCGGTACATATGTTTAAGATATATTTGTATCAAACAAAGGCATCGATCTAGACAAAAGGGAGGGTTTTCCCCACAATGTTTTTAGCAATCATGCAATATAATATTCTGGTAGAAGTGCCCAATAATTTGCGCAAAGTTTTTAAATAATTTAGATTTTTCCAGTTCATTCTAAATTATGAAGGTAAATATAATATTAGACAAAAGCTGTATTATTCTGGCAGGGGTTGCTTTCCATACTAAAAATTATGGAGTCTGTATGCCTATGGTATCATATTACTATACATTAAATGAATGTAAATTGTAAATGATTGTATGTATAGCATGTCTACTAGGCATGATTTAATGTTTGTTTATTAGTTGTAACTGTAAATATATGTTTCTTGGACGTGCCATGTAGTTTTGCTTTATATTTATACAGTTAGAAAATGACAGAAGTTCAGACATGATAAGTTACAAGTAACTCATGGTTTCCTTATGATTGGCTACTCTGTTTAAGCTGTAACTGGTAAGACCAAACATAGCACAATTAAAAATGTTTTACCTGTTGTCAATTTCATTGGATTTTATGTGCTAATTTGCTTTGTGGGATGACAACCTGTGTACATTGAAAATATTACTTTTACAGATAAAGTGTGTTCTTGTGTTGACACAGTAAACAAAAATGAAAATAAAATTAATAAACAGAGAGCTTGTTCTATCACTTAAAGTAGCTAAGTCTCTAACTCAATATCATCCAAAGTCTTTCACATTGAAAACACGAATTATTTGTCAATTTAAATCAACATTTGTTTCAAGGGACAAGAAAGAACAATGCCTGACATTCCTCAAATTATGTCAAAAGGTGACGCAATATTCTTATCTGGAGTGCATGTGCAATAGACTGGAATCTAGAGATTACCATTAAATTGAGACTTCTGGTGTATCTCGCCGAACATACTGATTTGAAATTAGTAAAAACGGAAACGATTGAATGTAAATCAGTTTATATATATTCAGATTACATGCGACCAATTTCTTGTCAATATCTAGGTCCTGAATAGTAGCAATTTAGCTCCTTTAAATTACACATCAGATCCACCCAATTCAATACTCTTTTTTCATACCCCATCTTAATAATCATCTGGTTTTCTTATATCATCTACCATTGTGATGTTTAAATTTTGTGTATGTAGGTGATTAATATTTTCTATATATTTAATTGCGTGTATATAACATAGAAATAAACAGAAACTGTTTTTAGCTGTAGATATTAAGTACATGTAAGAGTAATTACAATCTTACATCAAATTATATATATATATATATATATTAGCTTATTATTATTATGTAAATTCGTATATGTAATAATCATGAATTTTTATATTCCCATATTGAAATTTGGTCATATGTTATCCTTACTCCTGTCCATCGGTTATTGTTTACTAGAGCGTGAAGTTATTAACTTGAAATTTTATACACAGTGTAAAAGGTCATGAAACACAGTGTTTATGTTCATTTCTGATAGTTACTGGCAGAGTTATGGCCCTTGATCAATTTGAAAAATCTTGTTGACACCCTAGAAAGTTATCATCCAATTGAATTTTTACACAGAGTTTACGTTCATCACACAAAGAAGCCCATTTGATATTTTTACTGCCAGAATTATGACCCTTGATCTTTTTGAAAATACTTGTGGACAATCTAGATCACAAAGCTATCTTTTGATTGCCGTTACATTTATAAACGGTGTTTATGCTCATGAGCTGTAGAAGCTTAGGATTACTTTCAGAGTTATTGCCGTTGATCAATTTAAGAATCTTGTGGACCCTCCAGTGGCTAAAGTTATTTTCCTGTTGAATTAAACTTGTATTGTAAAGCTTAACATCAGGAAAAACTAGAAGCTAATCAAATTTAATTATTTCTGATGATTACAACATGGGTTGTTACCCAGAAAAGAATAAATGGGCCACAACTCTTTAGGACTGCACAGATGACTTAGCTGCTCTGGGTGTTCATTTGGTTGACTGGCAACCTATATTTATTGATGTATTGATTTTAATTATGCAATAAATTATATATTTGTGTCTATTATATTGTTTTATTTTCGAAGCAATTTTAAGCTAAATCCATAATTTTGTCATTTTTTTTATGAAATCATTTAAATGATGGATATAATTTGTATGCATATCTATAACATATCTTTCCTTGTGGGTAGCTTTAAACTAAACATGAGAGAAGCAAGCAGTGTCCCACATAACAACATGATGTTAAATTTTCGTAAAATTTACGTAAAAATGGTCTGTCAGTTTACCATCATTTTGCTCATCTTTTTAACGATAATTTTACGTCAGGAAATGACGTAATGTAAAGTTTTCATCATTTTTATCCGCCCACAATGAAATGTGGACGTATATTGCCGTCGCCCCGGTCCGTCCATCGTCCACAATTTCTTGTGAACGCTCAAACGCCAAAAGTTATCATCCAATTGTTTTAAAATTGATATATGTTGTTTACATTAGTGAGATGAAGAAGCCTATTTAATTTCAATAATTTCCGTTTATTATGTCTAGAGTTATGGCCCTTTTTCACTTTGTTGAACCTTATGAAAGCTCTAATGCCAAAAGTTAACATACGATCTTTGTGAAATTTATATGCAATATTTAAGTTAGTGAATCGAAGAAGCCTATTGAATTTCAACAATTTCTGTTTATTATGTCTAGAGTTATGGCCCTTGTTTCACTTTATTGAACCTTGTGAAAGCTCTAACTCCAAAAGTTATCATCTGATCTTTCTGAAATTTACATGCATTATTTAAATTAGTGAAACGAAGAAGCCTATTGAATTTCAGCAATTTCCGTTTATTACGTCTAGAGTTATGGCCCTTGTTTCACTTTAGTGAGCCTTGTGAGCGCTTTAACATCAAAAGTTATCATCCGATCTTTCTGAAATTTATATGCATTATTTAGTTTACTGAAACAAAGAAGCCTATTGAATTTCAGCAATTTCCGTTTATTACATCTAGAGTTATGGCCCTTGTTTCACTTTATTGATCCTTGTGAACGCTCTAACATCAAAAGTTATCATTCAATCTTTCTGAAAATTATATGCATTATTTAAATTAGTGAGACGAAGAATCCTATTGAATTTCAGCAATTTCTGTTTATTATGTCTAGAGTTATAACCCTTGTTTCACTTTATTGAACCTTGTGAACACTCTAACTCCAAAAGTTATCATCCGATCTTTCTGAAATGTACATGCATTATATAAATTGGTGAAACAAAGAAGCCTATTAAATTTCAGTAATTTCCATTTATTACGTCTAGAGTTATGGACCTTGTTTCACTTTATTGAACCTTGTGAATGCTCCAACGCCAAAAGTTATCATTCGATCTTTGTGAAATTTATATGCCTTATTTAGATTAGTGAAACGAAGAAGCCTATTGAATTTCAGCAATTTCCGTTTATTACGTCTAGAGTTATGGCCCTTGTTTCACTTTATTGAGCCTTGTGAACGCTCTAACGCAAAAAGTTAACACCCGATCTTTGTGAAATTTATATGCATGATTTAAATTAGTGAAACGAAAAAGGCTATTGAATTTCAGCAATTTACAATAATTACTTCTAGAGTTATTGCCCTTGTTTCACTTTGTTAAACCTTGTTAATGCTCAATTAATGATAGTTATCATCCGATATGTATGAAATTTATATGCATCATTTAAATTTGTGAAACAGGTCTATTGAATTTCAGCAATTTCCGTCAATAATTTCTAGAGTTATGGCGATTGTGAACGTTTGAATGACAAAAGTGATCATGTGATCTGTATGAAATTTAGATGCATTATTTAAATTAGTAAAACGAAAAAGCCTGTCAAATTTCAACAATTTCTGTAGATTACTTCCAGAGTTGAGCCCCTTGTTTCAGTTTGTCTAACCTTGTAAATCCTCAAACGACAAAATTTATAATCTGATCTGTATGGAATAAATATGCGACAACCCTTGACGACTGCTCAGACGATTTAGCTGCTGTGGGCGTATGTTTTGTTGCCTGGCAACCTATCTTTACGTTATATTTACATCATTTTCTGAGATTTATGTCAGAAAATGACGTAAACTTTATGTTAGATTTACGTCAGAGCAAAATGATGGAAATCTAACCGACCATTTTAATGTAAATTTAATATTAAATAAACATCATTTTCGGATGCAAGATATAACAATTAAAACCTTTAATAGAATCTATTATTTGCTGTTCTAAATGTGAAACTCAGTCAACCAATAACCAAATGTTCTTTAACCTAGGAAGAGCTGGATGGTCAAGTGGTCTGATGCATGCACTTAAGTTCATAAGGTCTGTCATTGATACAAGCGGCTTGGTTTTGATACCGGACGTGAACATGGATTTTCTCTGGTCCTCTTGCTACTAAAGACTCCTGGTGCAAGCAAATTATTGAAGTTAAATTGAATCGTAGGTTAGTCCCGAAATGACAGTTTATGTCTATTGAACGTTGAACCCCATTTCTCTCTCTCTCTTTTTACACATAGGAGTTTCGGTGGTTGAATGGTTAATGCATGTGCTTTGCATCATAAAGGCCTGTCATTGAATCAAGTGGTGTGGTTTCAATTCCCCACTTGTACGTGACAAGGAGTATGGTCGTCTGTCCAATCTCGTGGGTTTTCACAAGGTCATCTGGTTTCCTCCCACTGTTAAAGACCCCTATGTGCAAGCGAATTATTAAAATAAAATTGAATCATATATTAGTCCCAAAATGACCTAGTGTGAGTCGAGTGGACGTTAAACCCCATTTCTCTCTCTACTTACCAATAACCATTCTGAATTCTAAATGTAATTGCAACCAAACATCAAAAAGCCTCTTATTAGAGGTAACCAGTGTATGTTAATAACAGGCCAACTGCCTACAAATGAACATAAACAGTTCATCTGGGCGGCTTATCTAACGGCCCCACTTCACTGTCAAAAGTGAAAATGGACGTTTTTGATTTTTGTCTTAGTAATGAGTAATTGCTCCACCAATCCTCAGACGTTCAGCAATTCGTCGTGGCATGCTCCTAATCAACCGCCCAATCACGATTTGGGGCAATCTGACCCACTCCTCTTGCAGTGCCACGGCCAATTCTTGTCTGTTGACGTTGACGTCGACGAACGCATCTCCCGATCATGTCCCAGACATGCTCTATAGGGGAAAGGTCAGGACTCATGGCTGGCCAAGGCATATGGACAATGTGGTGACGCTGGAGGTAGTCATTCACGACACGAGCGCGGTGGGCAAGGGCATTATCATCTTGAAAGATGAAACGTCGACCTGCACGTTCAGCAAAGGGCAGAACTATCGGTGCCAGGTTGTGGTCACGGTAGTACACAACAGTGACCATTCCTTGAATAATATGCAAATTCATTCTGACAGTCATGGTGATTCCGAATCTGTCATGCTGTCTGACGTTAACGTTAGCATGAAGCTCATTTACACGCCTCCAAACGCGAGCACGCCTATCGGTGAAATCCAGAGTAAATCTGGACTCATCTGAGAACATTACACACGCCATCGATGATTACCCCAATTTCTACGCTGCCTACACCATTGACGCCTGTTTCCCATGTGCTGGCGAGTTAATGGAGGCACAACTTGCGGCGGGCCGCACGTAGCCAATTTCTAAATCATTTTGGGTGTAACTCTAATTCCTGTAACTTGGTACAAGTTTACAGAAAGCTGATTGGTCGTTCGCAGGACCTGTGTACGAATGTATCGACCCTGGGCTTGTGTAGTGGCTCTAGGACGACCTGAACAACATTGTGTGTTTGTTGGTACTGGTTCAACAGTCTGCTGATCACAGACTGTGACACATTAAGCATGTTGGCTACTGCTCGCTGTCTAGAACCCATTTGAAGCATGCAAATAGCACGTAGACGTTCATAATGTTGAAGAAGTCTCATTGCAAATTAAACATAACACACTGAAGCAAAGATATGCTAAACAGTAAATCTTATGCAAGAACCGACAGGAAAGCCAACATGGATAGGATAAACCAGCACGCGGCAGTTTTCATCAACCCTTCCTTGTAGTGTCAAATTTGACAATGAACCCCTCCCACGTGGCGCTATTGCGTGTCGCACGTGCTGGTCAGTGGTTCTGTTGGGGCGATAAGTTCTTCATCTGTGAACATACTCTCAAAGCATGTCAAGTGTCCATGACTATTTATCATATCACAACCTGCATAGGTATTTGCATTTCAATACTTTTTTTGAAGAGTATAATTATATAATAAAATATACTACAAGTAACTACGACGTATACTTTATTTAAAAGATAAATATATAATGTAATAAAATACAAAGCAGACATTTAAATTGTAACAGCATAAGTTGGTGGCAATATAGGAAAAGAAGCTCTTCAAGAAAAAGGTCTACATTAGCACTTTGAAAATGTGGAAATACGCCCACACAGTCAGCAGCATATCAGAGGTCTACATTAGCACTTCGAAAATGTGGTAATACGCCCACACAGTCAGCATCTATCAGAAAGAACAGCTTTGACGTTGACCAAATTTGATAAAAAAACAAGCCAACAGTGAGGCTGATGTCCCCCGCCGAAATCCCCAAATAAATAGATGACACATATTAATTAATCGCACATCTATTTTTTTCAAAAGTATCGAGCAATCAAACTGATTATCAACTATACACTAAGTTTCATCACTCTCTATCAGACAGAATCAAAGTTATCTTGCTTATCTCTAGCTTGATATGTTAATCATTGAACTCAGTCAAGACGAACATCTACATCAAGTTTAAACATTCTACCTCGATTAGAAGCAGAGTTGTTATGTTCCAAAGTCTTGACCAATCAAAATGCTTATTGCTCCTTAGCCTAAGCAGACAATTCTCATCATCGAACTTAGTCAAGGTATTGACGTAATGAAACTATACACCAAGTTTCATCACTCTCACTTAATTAGAACTAAAGTTATCGTGTCCCAAAGGATCAACCAATCAAATTGCTTATCTCTACTTACCATCAGCAGAAAATGCTCATCTTCGCACTCTATCAAGGCATTGACCTCATAAACACC